TATTTTCTCACTATAAAAACTTAGATTTTATTTAATGCCTACATTAAATAAGTACTTCTGCTTTCTTGTTTAAAAAATTCTAAACAATATCATTATTTACTAGGTATTTGTATCCTGTTTACCTTATTTTTAAAGTATTGCCTGGCATAACTCCTCACTTGTAAAACAGTGCGACTTCCAATGAGCTTTGCAATTTTGGTCCATCTTCGACCAAATTTAGTCTGTCATTAAAGTGAAAAAAATAACTTTTGATTAGCTTACTTTAATTAATGTTTTAAAAACAAATGCCATATTAAAAACACACTAAAAGAAAAACTCATTTAAAAATTATTTTTATAACTAAGATCCATCACTTCTGTTACCTAATTATATGAATTCCTACTGCACATTACTCTGTTCCACATCTAAAATATATCTTTTTAAAGAAATATGTGCCCAAAAGGGAGACAGGTTTCATTTTCCATTTATAGGACCAAGTGACTCTAAATTACAAAATTTTTTTGTGCCCAGATTCTATATTTCACAATATCCAGCAAGTGTTCCCTATCAGATACTTTTATTCTATATAGATATTAGTCAAATGACTACCCCCTTTCTTTTCCTCCTTTTTTTTTGGGGGGGGGTGTCTTTCATACACTGAGCTACATCCCCAGCCTTTTTTCAGTTTTTGAAACAAGGTCTAAGTCACTAGGTTGTCCAGTCTCGGCTTGTACTTTCGATCTTCCTACCTCAGACTCTCAGAGTGTTAGGATTACAGGCACCATCATGCTCATATAGGCAATTTCTTAAAACTCAAAAGTATTTCTGGGGAAATTAATAGTATAAATTATTTAAGACTAACAAGTAGCTGAGATTAACTTAGTGAAGAATCAGTTCTACTTATAATAATGGTAGTGTAGAACACTTTTGGACATAAGGGAGTACTGGATAAACTGTAATTATTTGGGAGACTAGGGGCTTGTATACTAAGAAAACTGGGGAAGAGACACTAAAAGCGGGGCAAAGAAAACATTCGCCAATTTCAAAATGAAAAAGGACAGAGCTATGTGAGAGAAAAAGAAAGAAAAATCTTTCTTCACCATTCAGAATCCCATTAATTCCTTTCTCCCAAGCCCCCAAGAATTCAGTCTGCAAGCAAATTGCATCAATGGATTGAAAAGGTGGGGAAACAACCAGTAATTCCACGTTTTTTGCATTAAAAAAATTCTAATTTTAAAAATTTCTTAAAGTAGATTTCTATAAATCTCTAGCAAGTACACATTTGCTTATGAAGATACAAAGTAACTCTAAAAGGATGTATGACACAGATTACCTCAGAAGTAAGAATCGTAACACCACCTTGTAACTTTAGATAGCTTTTAAATTTTTAACATGCAAATGCAGGACGCATAAACTATCTTCAGTGTCAACAATAATAACCAAAACATGAACCTTACCTGCATGTTTTTATATACATATCTGGTCTCTGACAAGGGTAAAACACCTATCAAAAGTTGTCAGCAGTATTAAATAAATGACTAGTTAATTAAAATTAGGTTATCATGCAATAGATGGAAATACCAATATAAAGAAAAAAAAAATCACCAGTACAGAAAAAAAGCCTTAAAGACAAAAACCTCAAGTTTATATATTTACATAAAAACATCAGGGTATGCAGTTAACATGATGTAAATGTATTTTTATTTTTTATCATCTATAGGAATGTTAAAAGATATTTTGATTTGCATTTACACAGCTTAAGTATTATACAAATATTACAAATATAGCTGATTTCCAAGTTAATTACTACAATACTGAATAACAAGTACTTTAAAAGAAAACGTACAATGAACCCTTGAAAGCTTAAAAAAATTCCTGAAAAGTGTGTTAGAAGATTTCTTCATATTGAGCATTTTCAGAATTAGAACCAGTGTACATAGTTTTCCACTACATAACTTGTGCCCATTTAAAGAGATCTCAGTGGAATATTCATACAACTGAATTGCTTCTGGTCTTCAAATATGTGCACTAAAATGTCTGGGCTGTGTACACAACGCTGAATAGTTAAAACAACAGCAACTCAGCTGATCACCCAGTTTCAACACACAAGGTTTTTTTTTTTGGCTTTGTTTTGAGAAAACATCAGACAAATACTTTGCCTTTTCATCTAGGCAGTTAGTGTCACATATACAGATATAGCTTGATTTCTTGGATTTAATCAATACCGAAACAGCAAAATATTGATCCAAATCTATTTTAGTACCTTTGATCTAAATTAAAAGGAATTGTTTTGTATTACATTATAATTACTCTACAAAATACTAAAGTTATTTATAACTAATTTAAAATTTTGGTTGCTATAAGTTAACCTTATAACTTTATCAGTATTTGCTTCTAGAATCATTTTACTATAAATTAAAAATTGTTCTATTTACCAGCCCTTGTTCAAACAGCTCTTTTTCTTCTATCGTCCACTTTACTGAGTAACTGGCTGGTTTTGTAGGAGATTGTACCCTGAGGGGGAAAAAGAGGAATTGAAAAAAAATTTTCTGAAACGGAACATTCTACATTTATGCAGCTAAAGGTTATAGATAGCCATGAGCTAAATTCAATACTTTTGAGTCTAAGAATTAAAAAAAAAAAAGGCTGCAGCCTCTATCTCAGGGGGAAAATTTACCGTTAGGTATCCCTACTCAGGATGACAGAACCCCAAAACACACAATCTTTGGGTCTCAGTGAGAATAACACTAAAAGACAGCAAAGGAAACCAGTGTGATAAACAAATATGTAACCTCATTTCAACTGAAGACAAAGCAGCAGTTGTTAACACATTCCCAAATCCTCAAAGGCATGTAAGAGTTTCAAATAATTCCAAATATATACCATACTGATGAAGCTCACTAATTTAATTAAGCCATTAATCTTTCTATTACTTCACTTTATGACTGTTTAAATACAAAACCAAAGGCTGTTCACTACTCAAGCTCATGGGCAACTGCAAATACGTAAGTCCACCCTTCAGTGTACAAGTTTGAAAACACTAAATAATGGCAATGTTTTTCCAATCACCGGGAAAGGCAGACACTCCTCATTTAATGATCAAGTTCCGTACATAGAACTAGGTCGTTAAATAAATTGGTCAGTAAATGAAGAATTGTATATAGTATATGTACATTGCAATAATCAAAAAAAGAAATAGTCAAGGAAACTCCAACTAGATGACTTGGCTTTTATTTGTATAATTCTTACATGCAGTACTGTAATGTATAACAGAACATAAAACTACAGTACTATACTGTAGAATACAATCAGCAAAAATAATAGTACTATATAAACAAGGTGCACTGTACAAAAAGAAGATATTGAGGCTCCCTAAACAAGATGTACAGAACCGTACAAAAAGAAGACTGGTTGTAAGCCTGATGGGCAGGTTTTAAGTCCAAACAGCATGCCTCAGTCATAAGTCCAAACAGTTGTTAAATAGGTAGGTCATTAAATGAGGACTATCTCTAGTTAATTTGTCTAGATAATTCTTGAAAGCCAAATTCAAATTACAATTTTGTTCAAAATGATTTAAAATTAGTTGACAGAGCAATAAAAATCAAGTCAACTCATACTACATTAGATATATTTCCCCCAAATCTATAGGAAACCATCTTTTCCATAATGTTGTGAATTGCTTCAACAGGGCCATATGAAAAAAACTGACAGTGTAAAATTATATTTATCACATTTCAACATCTATTCAAAAACCTTTATTTTTATATTTTATTTTTTAATCAAAAGGGCTTTTTTCTTTAGGCCAACTATGTTAAAAAATTCTCAGATAATTCTTAACCAATCAAAAAGGTTTTAAAAACATAAAACATAAATACAAACACGATTTAATATTCTGCACAGTGCACCAGATGAAAAAGTAAGGAAGCTTATAAAGAAGTTACAAAAGTGCAATTCAGACTTTAAAAGTGTAAACTGATATTACCTGTTCATGTGTTTTTTATTATCTTCTTTTCGATCAAGCCAGAATTTTCCCGGAAGAGATTTTTTAGATAAGTAATACCTGTGTAATTAAGGAAACTTTAAAAATAATATTTAAGTCATAATTCTTTTGTGACCAAAAATAAGCATTAAAGACTCATGAAAGTCAGACTTGTGAATTCAAATGAAACCAATTCCTTTCGAAGACTTTTTCAGGTTTGCAAAAATTACGATAAAAATGTTTATGCCTTACAGGATTGTTATATGGATTAGTACAAGTAAAGCCATACAACATAATACCTGCAAAAAATGTGTGCTACATAAATAGTAGCTTCTCTTATCTTCCTATTAGAAGTGACTAAGAGAAAAAGTATCCTCAATGTTTAACATGTTGACAATGGGGTAGGAATTCTTATCTGAATACTGGGTGGCTATCATGTGAATTCAATTGTTCCTGCTAGCTTGAACCACCAATGATACATGCATGACTCTCCCATCTGGCATCTTGTACCACTTCTCAAGGAGTTTCCAATTACAATAATGTAAAAGAGAGTGTTGATTTTAGCAGACCATATGTCACTGTATTTCAGTTCCTCAAGGAAAACATTAAAATGGTATAAAAAAATTATAATACAGGTAATGTGTGGTACAGCAGTTGTAAACATGTATTACATTAATCAGCAATTGGGTGTTTATAAAATTTCTATGTTAAAATTTAGATGACTGATAAACCATGAATGTAAATAAATTTCTTTTAATGAAATAAATTTGTCAATTACTGTAATAATTAATTGGTATGAATAGTATTAATATTTATATTTGGGCAGTAATTATTTAAATTCAAGCAACTAACTAGATTTGGTCCATTTATAGGCTTTTTATTAATTTTATTAGTAAAAAGACCGATAAAAGTGATTAGATCCATTTGTATCACCAATGAGACAGTCATGCACATATCACTGATGGTTCAAGCCGGAAGGAATGTGTGAAATCTGCCTTTTCTTAAAATATACAAGGAATATAAAAGATGAACTTGATCGATTGTCTAAGCTTATTTGGCACATCTGTTTCCGTATTTCTAAAGGTAACAGAAGAGTTCTTTAAAATTCTCTACCCCATTAAAAATAAAAAACATTTAGATAAAATCTACCAAAGAGCTCCCTCTCAAGGTCGTTGAAACTAGGCTACTGCAATACTGAAAAGTCTTCATTTAACAAGTATTTACTTACACTGTGTGTGTACGTGTGTGTGTGTACATCAGCTTTTATGCTAGGTACTATGTGAGGACAAAAATATAAATACATTTTATATGCATCATGCCTGTCTTCTAAGTAATAACCTGAAACTTTCATTAGTTGTTTCCATATCTGGAAAGAAACAAGTGACCATTTTAAGTGTTCATTTATCTAATTTAAAACTGCACTGTCCATACAGTAACCACAAATCACACTGTGACTTTGGAGCACTTGAAAACACAGAATGAACTGAGGTATAATATAAAAATAAAATATACACTGGATTTCAAAGACTTAATACAAACAAATACAAACAAACACAAGATAACAGACAAATAATGAAAATTAAGATACCATTAATAATATTTCCATATAAATTCAAAGTATATTTTGGGGTCTTTTTTTTTTTTTTTTTTTTTTTTTGAGATAGGGTCTCGTTCCGTAATTCAGGCTGCCATCAAACTCATGGTGATTCTCCTATCTCAGGCTCCCAAGGGCTGGGATTACAGGTGTGCACCACCATGCCTGGGTAAAGTACTTTATATTAAAATTAAATACATATAAATAAGATATATTAATAAAATGAATTCCAGCTGTTCTGCTTTTAAATGAGGTCACTAGGAAATTTTCAATTACATGTACCTCTCACTGAAAAGTAGTAATCTAGGTTATAACTCCAATGTTTAGGGGGAGTTAGAGAATAGGAAAGCCTAAAAGGGGCTAGCCTATGATAACTAAAGGTAGAGGAACACTAAAATCAACATAGCAATAAATAGAAATAGGAGAAAAAGAAATTCCTTCTATTAAATAAATACTGGGTAAAAATCCAAGAAATGCAGATAGGAGTTAAAAATAAATCGGTATTAGATTACTATTTAACCTGTATAATTTATAAAATCAGAAACTGTTTTGTTCAATCCTCTCATTTTTTTTTTTGTTTATTTTGTTTTGTTTTTGGTGCCAGGGATCGAACTTGGGTCCTTGTGCTTGTTCAGCAGGTGGCAAAACCACTGAGCTAAATCCCTGGCCCAATCCTCTCATTATTACATATAAGAAAACAGACAAAAGAAATGAGGAAGAAGACAGAGGATGGTCCATGTTAATAAGGACCCAAAACTTGTGGGGAAAAAAAATAGTCCTACAGAATTTGCTTTGTGCTTTAAACTTAAGGTTCCTTTTACATAATGTACCCATAAATTACAGGGTAAAAAGTCAGAAGAACTTTCACATATTCTAATTCTGCGTCCTTGGACAAATAAACTTCTGAGTTTCAGTTTATATAACTTTGAAAATGCAAGCTTGGATTTAAGCTTCCAAATGATTCAAGTATTCTATAATTTCCACTCATAGTCACATATTATAAAGAGTTGGTTGATGACAGAAACTCAGAAACTTGTGTCAGGTCTAGACTCAGCAGTAAAACAGAACCTAAGGAATAAAATGCTGCTTTTTGCATAGATAAGCAACATATTACATTGCAGCCAGCTGTAGCCAAATAATACCCATTTAATGATTACATTAGCCTCTTCTGTAATTTTTGCATGGGCAGATTTTTAACCCTGAAATCTTTTTTTCTTATTGGTACATATTTTCCATACATAATGATCATATTTATCATAGGGAATCTGTACCTGTACATAGTATATCATTAATTTTCATTTTTTCCAATTCCCTTCCCCTCCCCTTCAACCTTTCTTTTCCTATTTATAGAAGCTTTGTTTCCATTTTTTTCCTTCCATTCGTTTTTTTACATTTCCTTTCCCTTCCTTCCCTCCCCCCTCCCTTGTTTCCCTTCCCATTTGAACATTTTCTTCCTACTTCCCAGTATCTGTCCTCCATTTGCTCCTTATTTACCCTTAGGATTTTTCACATGAGAGCAATAACGTGATATTTAGACCTGTGTGTCTTGTTAATTTCACTTAAAACTATTAACCCTGAAATCTTTAGTTCCTCACAAACATTAAAGGATACTGTTCTTCCAATAACATTTTCTCAATGACAGCTCTGTTCTCTTCACTGATGGTGCTATCTAGAGTCCAAGGCTATTTTTAAAAAAAGAATACATATATAATTACTTTTTGTTAAATAAAAAATATATGATACTATGATTACAAACAAGCACAGCTACTGTTTACTGAGCACACAGACATATCTTTGATTCTCATGCTAACACCATGAGATAGGTGGTAGTACTTCACAAACACATCCACAGCACTACTTGCATTTCCAGTGGAAGACAAGAGACTTTACATCCAATTCTATTAGAGTCCAAGGTTCATGCTCCCACTTAGGCAGGTAATGATAGCTATTATGTATGAGGAATTATTAGACATCATGCATTTGCTAGAAAAACTATTTCCAAAACTCAACTGGTTTTTCTCTTAGCCACAATCTCCTGTGGATCATACGTCATTTTCAACTCTCAAAGTGAAAAATTTTTGGCTCATGTCTTCTCCAGGCTTCAGATTGTTATATCCAACTGCTCACTCAAGATTTCCACCTGGATATCTAACTGGCTTCTCAGACTTAATCCATCACATATATCCACCTGCTTCTCCTCCACTTTTCCAGTCACGTAAAAGGCAGTCCAGACACTAAGTTTCTCCATCTAAAAACTAAGGAATCACTGCAGATTCGTTTTCCCTCAATCTCCACACCCAATCCACCATCCATTTCTACCTCCAAAATATAATCACATCTAAGCACTTCTAATTCTTCTGTGACTACGCAGGGCCAAATCACCATCATCAAATCTTAGATGAATGCAAATGTTTCCTAACTAGTTCCTTTGGGACCCCTCTTGTTTCCTTCTAATCTTCACCACAGCACTCAAAACAAATGTTATAAAAAATTGACTTATCTGCATAAAATCTGTATGAAATGTTTTGATGTTTCAGTTCATTCATAATACAATTAAATTCTTTAGCATAATCCAACCCCACAAATCCTGAATGATAGAGCTCTCTCCTGCCTTTCTAGCCTTGTCACATACTGTCACTCCTGTTGTTAATATGGCCTAGGTATGGAATAGATCTCTTTCAACTACACATTTTGCATTAGCTGGAATTCTTTCCTCCAATCTTTATCCATCTACATATTCTCATTACTTTTCAATTTAAATGTCACCTCAGAGCTTCCTTCACTAACAATTTGATCTCAAGTACCCCTACCTGGTACTCCCAGTGAGCACTGATTTGTTTATTTCCTTCATAATCTACAACTGTTTATCTACTTGTTTATCAGCCAAGTCCCCTTTGGAATATAAGCTCCTTGAGAGCAAGGACACATCTGTCATGATTAACTAACCTGGCCTAGGGTCTGACACACAGTAGTCAATAAATAACTGCCAAATGAACAAATGAATCCTGTGATAATCCCCATTTTTTACTTGAAGAAACCAAGTTTCACAAAAATGACAGAGCAAGAATTTATACTTAAATTTAGCTGGCTCCAAAACTGCTTTTCAACAAGCCATTTTTCAAAGTCAAAAGAAAAAAGTTACTTCTAACTTTAAACTATGAAAAATATTCTTACCTATTACCTTTGACTTTTGAGAACTAGCACTCAGTTAAAGAAAGAGGCACAATGGGCAATGAGTAACAGTTTAGGTCAATGGACATTTCATAAAATACTTACAATAAGGCCATTCGCATTTTTCCACGATGAATCAAGATAGTGTTCTTGTTGTAAAACTGATGCTGTACTTTCATCACTTCTGTAATAATTAAGGAAATGTGTATAAAAGTGACATTATATGAGTCTGTCGCTCTAACTCATATACGACAGTGGCTGGCAGGTTGAGGGGTCCTAAGTAAATAGTCCCCTTCTTTCCTTAACAAACAGATTTAACACTGCAGCAATGCCTCCTCTACTTTTGACCTGTGAGAAAAAAATTCTCATACACAGCAACTACAATATGTTCTGGAGCCATGAACCAACACTTTACTTTTGGCTGATAAGTATCCATATGAATGTAAAAACTCAACTCGGCAATTACATCTTTCAGCTATATCTAAACTATAAAAAACCACTATCTGCAGCACCACCCTTAAAACAAAGAACAAAACTCAGATGAAGAACAAAACTAGAAAATATCAGAAATTTTATTAACAATTCATATAACTTGAAAAAAATAACTCAGGTTATTTGGAGGATTCCTATGTACACAGAAGATCAAACTTTTGTTAATCCTATCATTTCTTTCATTGAACCAGTAAGCCACAATGTGTACCTTATATATTCTGGGATCCAAATATGATACAATTAAATTTAATATCAACAGATTGAATCTTTAATTAATCTTATAGTAGTTACAGATTATGGGACTGTTACAGCTTGTATCTAGATATCCCTCCACAGTCTCACACAATCAAGGTGGATCTTTTCGGAGGCTGGATCTAGGGTGTGATGCTGGGATTAAGGATGTGTGAATACTAAATTAGTCCACTGATTGGTTTAGCATAGTTCTGGGTGTGGATAATAGGAAGGCCCACCCTGGGTGTGGGTGGCACAACCCAAAAGGCAGGTAACCTGGAAGAGATAAAAGGGAAAGGAAGGGGTGCTACTGCTTCTACTGCTTCTTCATTTTGCTGCCTTCTCCCTGCCACGAACTGATTATCCTCTAAGATGCTGCTCTGCCATGCCACCCTGCTTTAGAGACAGCCAACTATGGAGTGAAACCTCTTCACATTGTGAACCAAAATAAACCTTTCTTCCTTTGACTTTGGGTGTCTGGTATTTTGTCTCAGCAATCAGAAAAGTAACCAAGACAGGAACTATCATTTTTCTCTACAATAAATTAAAAGCAGTAGTTTCTATTAACTGTTGATAGTAAACAAGTTTAAACTCAAGAGTCAACACTGATCTGGAAGAGGGTAAAGGATTCTGAGACTTATCAGCAGAAGGAAATGTTTACTCAAATAACTTGGTTTGCCATGAGGGCAGGAGGTGAGACTATTACCATGTTTTCTGTAGAAACCTTTTTACATAGCATTCCTTAATAAGGATTAGCAACATCCATACCCTGCTGTATGCATATGGATAGCTGTCTGAATTTCCACAGGTGTCACAAATTAACATGTTTAAGCCTTAAATCACCTTTCCTCCCAAATGTGCTAATCTCCCATTGTTCTGTACCTCAATGGCAGCCCTTCAGGACTTCTCTGAAGTACCAGTTTCAGACCTTATAGTTTTCCTGGCTGACTATCAGAGATAAAGCTGACAAGCCATTCATCCTCTTTGCTTTGTTTATCTTGACTTACCTCCATCTGACAGGTATGTAAGGTTTATTATATGTCTCATCCAACAAGAATATTAGCTCTGTGAGACCAGAAACTTGATTTTTATACCTGTTACTTCAGTATTTGTTGAATAAGTGAATGATGTAGTTGAGACATGGGTCACACAAGTCTCTAGTAGTTAGGAAATAAAGATTTTAATACAATACCAACTGGGAATTGAAGAGAGTAACATGATCAGTTTGGATATAAGAAAGGCCACTTTAACTTTGGGAAAGAATAAAGGGGCCCAAGGAGACAATGAGCAATAAAGAGAAAGTAAGTATAAAAATACTTCAGCAAGGTGGCAGTAATTTATCTGTAAAGAATAATCACTGTGACCAGGAAGAGTGAATACATTTGAAAGGATATTTATACAGAATGAAGTCTCTAATAAATGATATGATGGGGGAGCAGAAGGAGGTAAAGGAAAAGAATGAAGTTTAACTCTATACCTTTGGTGATTGATGGTTCATTGTTTTTTTAAGGAACGGATTTAATTTGGCTCACAGACTCATGGGGTTCATGGTACTTGTTTGACTGGAAACAGTGGAGAATCAGGTTTCATGAGGAAATATTTATGAGACTGAGGTGTTTGTGGGACATCCGAATGCTGATAGATTCAGAGTTGGGGGAATGAATTAGAAGCTCCGGATAAAGATTTGAGTTAGTGACAGATTTGGAAATAGCAGCATGTGTTAGGATGAACTTAGGAAACTGCCATTTTTGTAGGTCAAATATGTTAGAACACTGACAAAACGTCATATGGATCAACCTAACAGAAATTAAGTCTTGAGAGATGGTGTCACTAGCAGTGTGTTTTAAATTAATAGCCAAGGGTTCCTAATATACTACCATCAGCTGTTCAGTACATACAGTACTTCAGGGGGTATGTCACGAGACTTGAGTTCCAATACCTTAGGGCACCATTCACTAAAACAAGGTACTCCTTGAAACCAATAACCTTTAATCTTGTTTGTGTAAGACAGAGTATACGTACTATCACTAAAGCTCAAGAAAACAGGAAGAGAAAAGGAGAAAAATTAAATTCAATCAGAAAAATTAAAATAAACCTATGTGAGAGGCATACAGCCAAGGTCCTCAGGTAATGGTGTTTCCAAGGCTAATTCATTTCTTTCTGGAATGTGGGTAAATTCCCTACCCACTTAAATCAAATATGCAAAAATCACTTGACCAAGACTGAAACATTACACAACATGAACAATTATATTAAAGGCTCTCACATTTAATCTGCACAGCTTTGGAATGCTTTGCCTAAAAATCTGAAGGGAAACGACAAGTTTATCCTTCACATTTTTTATAGTGTTGTATTTAGGGTTCACCACTTTTCAATTCCCTGTTACTTAGTGCCTCACAGGCAGGGTTGAGGCTCTTCTCAATTCAGAGGCCCTGATAACAGGTTGGACTACATCAAACTGTCACTTTATAGGTAAAAAAATGTCTACTATTGGTAACTTCATATGGTTCAGCCTAGTAAGAGTTTTAAAAAAGTTGCTGATAGTTATAAATAACAAAGCTGGCTGCATTTAGACCTTCTGATTCTTACCCAGTTTAAGCCTCTTCCATTAGTAGTCACATTTCTCACTTGGAAAGCAAGGAATCAAAGAAGATTCTGATTCCAACCACACTGGCCTGTTTTGTGGGAATAAGGATTAAATACATTCTGATCTCTCATACCAACCTTAAGGATGAATGAAGCACACACCTATAAAGCATCTACGAAATGTTACAGCGCATTCTATCATTCTTTTATTTGATGTTCACATCAAACCTATGAGTACATAATTCTCAGTATCTAACAAATTGTCTGGCGTAAGGTTGCACAGCTAGTAACGGTAGGGCCAGCAATTGCAGAAAAAAACCTCAGAACGGTCCAGCTCTGAAACCTAGCCACTTTCCTTTAAGTCAAGCTACCTCTCCCGGAAGATTTTCACAACTATCGCTGTGGGGAAGAAAAGGTGACGTGACCCGTCTGAGGTCGCGCGGCTTGCCTGAGACGAGGGAGCGTCTCTAAGGTACACTCCAGGAGCCACCCTTGCTCCAGTTAGTTCAGGCCAGTGCTGGGGATTCTGAAGGGAATGGAGGAAAGAGCAAGGCCAAGGTGCACGGAAAAGGGGAGCGCCACAGCGCGCTGTGAGAGGCGAGGGACCATCTGCGCCAAAGTCGGCCGGCTCCGGAAAGCGCGAGCAGACAGCGCGGCCACTTCCGGGACGGCGGAGAACCGGCCCCGCGGACCGCCTTCTGCTACCCGCTCCCTCCACGGGCCCTCCGCCTTTCCCAGGCCCTCTCCTGGCATCCGCGACGCTCCCCGCCTAGCGACACCCAGTCTCTACGCCTCACCCTGGCTGTGCGCCCGACGCCACCACATCCCCTTCAACATCCACATCCGTCTCTTCGGCCGCCATGACAGCACCTGGCCCTGTCCGACCTCCCATAAGATATCGCGAGAGGTTGCGGCCCGGGGGGGCGGGGACTGTGCGTCATGGGGCGGGGACTGTGCGTCATGGGCGGGGCCTTGCGTCATGGGGCGAGGCTTCCAGAGGAAGGTGTGCAGAGAGCCAAAAGAGGAGGGTCGGCCTTTTCAGGGCTGTTTCCGGCGCCTCATTTCGCTGATGTGTGGAATGGGGATAGCAGCAAATATCTTTCTAGACTGATGAAAAACGCCAAACCTATTGTGTGAACCGTGTAAGTAAAACCTGGAGGGCTCTTTATCTGTTTAGTCTTTCTCTAAAGAAAGGGTCGTTTCGGGGCCGGGGATTTAGCTCAATGGTTTCGCTGCCTGCTGGGAAAGCGCAAGGACCCGAGTTCGATCCCCGGTGCCAAAAAACAAAAAACCAGAAAGAGTCGTTTACCGCTTATGTGAAGTACGAAACAACTTATGTTTCAACAGTCAACAAACAAAAACATAATTTATGATTGTGTGATTTTTTACAAATGTTTTTATGATTTAAAAATCACTCGTGATCGTTCATCCTTACACTGACCTCCTGAGGTAGACAGGGCTGATATCAGCACATATGGGGATACTGAGGCTCAGAAAATTGACATGCTTGTCTAGCGTCAGAGCTAGAAAACCAGGCTGTGACCATTAAAGGTGATGCTCAATTTGACAGGATTAAGAGATGCCTAGCAGATTACTAAAGCACATTTCTGGGTGTGTCTTTGGGGTGTTTCCAGAAATGATGGGCATGCAGGTCAGTAGAGTGAGAGCAAAGACCTGCCATGACTGTGGGTGGCGCCATCCGGTAGGCTATAGCCAGGATGGAAAGAAAAGAGAAGAAGGAGGATGCCACATACATTTCAAAAGCTCCATTCTGCTTGAGCAAGTACCTCTCTTGGTACTGCCATCGTCTGTGGACATCAGACTCCAGCTTCTTCAGTATTTCAACTGGGACTCACCTGCAACTCCAGGGAGCTTCCGGGCCTTCAGTCTTGGCCTGTTGCTACATCCTTAAACCCTCTTGTTCTGAGGCTTCTAGCTCCATGGTCTGAACACTTAGTAGATCCACTTTCCTGGAGAGGGTGCAGACAGTGATTGTGCGCTTTCCTCCCTCTGATCCTATAAGTCTATAATAAATCCCCTTGCAAATATATGAAAAAAAAATATAGTTCTCTATACTACTCTAACCAATACACAGGTCTTTCGGACTCTTTACTAAGTGCTCACCACATACACACACTGTTGTTAGGAGCTGTGAGGAATAAACATTATTTCTGCCAAGTAATTTAAGGCTTTTGAAGATATAGTATTATACATTACCCTTATGCATTCCTCTACATTAGCTCTACATTCATCTGCATCTCTCTTAGTTATTTTTCCTATTGCTGAGACAAAATACCTGACACCCACAAGTTAAAGGAAGAAAGGTTTATTTCAGCTTAGAATTTGTAGAGGTTTCAGTCCATAGTCAGCTGGCTTCAAGGCAGAGGAGCATGGCAGATGGGCTTCACAGAGGAAAAACAATTCATGGCAAGGCAGGCAGAAGGCAGTGAAGCAGTAAGCAGCAACAGCAAAACTGCCTTGTTTCTGTCCCTTTCTATTTCTTCTAGGCTACAGGCCTATTGATTGGTGCCACCCATACCCAGGATGGGGCTTCCATTATCCACACCCTTCATCCCAGTATCACATTCTTAATCCACATTCACATACCCAATCTAGCCATCTTTGAAACTCCCCACCCATGAGCACATAAGCCTTTGGGAGAGCATCTAGATGCAAGCAATAACAATCTCGGACATTGTTGTAATTGATAGTTCACTTGTCTGCCTCCCCCACTGGACTGTGAATTCTTTAAGAACAAAGACTCACCATTCAGTATGGTGTCTCATACATACTAGATGCGCAATAAATATTGAACAGGTGAATAAATAAGTCAATCAGTTAGCAACATGAGTTCATTTCCCACACTATTCTCAATTTGTCCCATCTCACCTTTGTTCTGAGGGCATTTGAATGTGATGATAGAGGATGGAGACAAAAATTTGTAAAGAGGGAGACCCAGGGCTCAGGCCACCAGACTGGTGCACTTCTGTTGTCCAAAGGTATATCCAGTGACCAGTTGGAGTGGTAGCACAATACCTGACACAGAGTAGCATTTTATGTTATTTGTTCAAATTTTTATTAGTACCTATTTGCCGTACATAATGATTACATTCTCACAGGGAATTTGTACTGTACATAATATGTCTTAATTCTTCCTTTTATCCCATCTCTTTCCCCTCCCTTCAACCCTTCTGCCCTTCTCCATTTACAAAAGCTTTGTTTCTATTTTCTCCCTTCTATTCTCTTTTTAAAAATGTTTTTGCACTTCCTTCTCTTCTACTTCCCCTCCTTGTTCCTCTTTCCATTTGCAAATGTACTTCCCTCTTCTCAATCTTTATCCTATGATTTGTTTCTTATTGTAGCATTGTGTATGACCCCCAGACAATCTAGGTATTCATGTACAAGGAAGATCAGTTGATCTTCACCTTGTCACCTTGGCAAAAGTAGTACACTCAGTGGTAACAATAGCATCACAGCCTGGAAAATGACAAACTATGATAACTAATAATATGCCACCTTTAACCCTAGGTACAAAATTTGTAGTTATATAACAAAATCTAAGACAAAACAGAAAATTATGTACAGTAAATATTCACTCAATAGAGCAATTTTACCCCAAGGGGAGAAAATTTAAAAGGGAAAAGAGGAAAAAATAGAGAAATAATAGAAAAGAAAGAGATTAGAAGTAAGGCTGAAGACGAAGATTACTCAACTCTCAGGAAACTGGTGAAGAAGACAGGAGGGCAGGAAAGAAGGAGAAAACAAAAGCAAGAAGGAAACAACAATACACTCACAAAAAACTTAAAACAAGCAATCAGAAACAAACCAACAAAAATATCCAAATGAACAACAACAACAAAAGACCAACAGCAAAGAAAAAAAAATTTCCCTGTAATTTCAAGACTGTGGTTCTCTTCTGAGGACTACAGTTTTGTGGCAGTGTATAATTCAAGGTGTGACTGTGCTCTCACTCATACAAGGAAGGCAGTCAAATCCCAGATCTGTGGTGGATAGTCCCAGTAAGGCAGCAGTAAGATTGGGATGGTGTGCTGTTCTGGGACTTTCAAATCCACAGGAGTTCAGGCTGGCCCTGGGCTCTGGTCATGGTCGTGGGGGCTGAATCATTTTGCTTACAACACTCTGAGTGTCTCTTGCCAGCCTAATCATGGCCCCCTGACTGTGGACATCTCCCATGTATGTCCCTCACCCAGTGAGTGTAGGAGTTTAATACTGGGAGCCCTGAGATGAAGCCAACCTGTGGCTGCTCTGAGTCCCAGGTTCAGTTGGCCCCTCCCTAAAATGGTGTCCAACCAAGCACCTTCTCCAGGACATATGCCAAACACTTGGACTGGAGTCACTCACCAGCTCTTGTAGTGCATGGCATCCACTGCTCTGTTCCACTGGTGGGCTTCTCTCTGAAAGCCTCTGAAATCACCTGCTTTCACTGTGGCTTTGTAGATTCAATCTTCCTTTCTCTCACCACCAGTCACGAGCTGGGGAGAAAGTGCAGATTGCTCTTCTTTCTCCTGCATTTGGCCTGACTCTTCAATTTTTCTGTAGAGAAAATGAATTTTCCCTTAAGACACTTCCTGGGTCCCAGGGATCGCCTCCCTACTTCTTTCCTTCCCCAGTGTCTAGTTTCTAAGTCTTGAAGAGGCTGATTTACTGCTGCCTACCCTTCCACTGGAAGTCCCTGAGAATAGCATTTTAAGATGCCTGTTGAATTTAAAGGATATGTCTTTCCCTGAGCTTTACACAGCAGGAAGGGATGGGACCCTGGCAAGACTCTCTGCATATAAGTCATCGTAAATGCGAATGACACCTTTTAGATCACAGCACAGATTCTGTGTGAATAGTGTTTCTTGAAACACAACACTGGAGGCTTTTCTGGTCTGGGGAAAAGCACTAGTAGGCACTGAAATATATGCGGGAGGAAGGAAAGCCCTGCACAAAATTCAGAGAGAACCCAGGTCATCTCAACAACTCCCTCATCAGAGACATGAGTTTGTAGCTTCCCCATGTATGTCTTGCACCATGCCCATGTTACTTGGCTTTACAGAAACAAGTTCTATAAGGATCTCTGTACAGCCACACCCACCAGGACAACGCTACAACCTCATGTGTAGGTTAAATCTAGAGGTTTGGCCTGCTTTTAAAAATGTCCTGTTGAAAGACCCAGCAAGTAGTATGAAAGCAGAACAAAGAATTCAGAATTGGTACTCTATCAATACTTGTTGAGTTCCTACTGTATTAGATACTGAGGGAATGGCATTAAATAAAAGTGACTCTGTGTCTGTCCTTGTAAAGTCAATCAGATATGCAAGTTTAAGACAATGTAATGAGTTCAATGAGGGAGGCCTTACAGCTTGTCTTATTCTGTTTTCTGTTGCTGTAACAGAATACCACTGACAGGGTAAATTGTACATAATAGAAGTTTATTCAACCCATGGTTCCAGAGGTTGGGAAATCCGAGAACATGGCACCAGCACCTATGGAGCCTGTGAGCTGTGTTGTAACAAGGCAGGAGGGAAAGTGGGCACACAACGATGGAGAGAGAGATCATGTCACCTTTCTGTTTTAACAAGTCTTCTCCCACAATAACCATCTCACTCCTGCAATAATGACATCAATCCATTCATGAGAGTGGTAACCCAGTCATCTCATAAAGATTGTTCATCTGGTGGCAATCACAATTAAATTTCAACATGAATTTTGGACTGGACATTCTAGCCATGGTGCAGGCTGATGTGAGATCACAGTGGAGGGCACTTGGCCCGGAAGGAACCTCTCCCATACCGTACTTCTGAGGAGGATATTGATCAGTCAGAATTTGAAAACAAGGTTCTAGACTCTAGGAGATAAATATATAGAGACCCTTGTCTCTAACTTGAACCAGTGGAAAAAGTTTAGAGAGAATACTGCAATGCCTGCTGCTCATAGAACCACGAATAGTGTTTATTTCCACTGACCAGCCTGGATAGCCTCATGATTCATGAAGCTCTGCATAGACAAGGAGGATATTGCCTAAGTAGTGGAGAATAATTAGCTTTAGGCAGAGCATTGCTTTTCTACTTGCTAGCAAATCTTAAAAGACAAGACTTGAAAAGGTCAAACTGTTTCCAGATAACACGACTGTGTATGC